CATCTCTTTTACCAATTTCTCAATTTCATCTTTCTGATAATGAAGGTAACGGTATGGCCGAACATTAATCGTTTCAGTCACTTCCTTTAACATAATCCCATGCTCCCTACCCCTCTCCGGTGGTAATCCCGGCGGCCTGTTAGTAACTGATTCATATTTTCTTAGTAGTGGATCCAAAACAACATTTGGTTCTGTCATTTCCTCCGAAAATACTGAACAAGTACCCAATTCCACCAACACRCCCTGTCCTTCATGGTTGATCACCTTTCSRAWAGCTTTTAGCGACACCATCGAACGTCCCAGAGATGGATCACCCTTTAACGTAACRGATTTTCCCCCACAAGTGAATTTCATCACTTGTAACTTCCAATTAACATACGTAGCTCCCAAAGACTCCAGCCATTGCATCCCTAAGATTACGTCACTATTACCCAAACCCAAAGGCATAAAATCTTCCCTTATCTCAACTTCTGGTAAAAACAACGTTATCCCCTTGCTAATACCACTTCCTTTCTCCATGTTTCCAGAACCCAAAGTAATAGTATATTCACCAGTAGCTTCTACTTTTAAATTCAGTCTTTTCACTAAATCGAATGATATGAAGTTATGAGTGGCCCCACTATCAATTAACACTACCACCTTTTGTCCTTCAATCCTACCTTCCAACTTCATAGTTTTAGGATTAGTCAAACCCACAACTGAATTTAAATGTACCTCTACTTTTCAGTAACTTCAGCTGCATTGCAAGCTCTTTCCTCCGTTTCTGGTGCCGTATCATCAAAAACATCCTCTTGAACTAGCAATACACTCATCTCCTTCTCCTTACACTTATGGCCAGGGACATATTTTTCATCACATCGATAACACAAACCTAATGATCTTCTTTGTTGTACCTCTTGATCAGACAGACGTCGGAAACCGGTACTTGCTTTATTTGTAAATGACGGCGAATTAACAGAACTAACGACGCTATTAGAGCCATGATTAGAAAAATTGCTTTTCGACTCCGAATTAGAATAAAAAAACGAACCTGTCTTCTTGCCATATCCCTCATACTCCTCTCTCGATAACACCTTGTTTTTTAATTCGATCTTCTTGGCTACCTCCATTGCTTCGCTAAGCGTCAACGGATCCAAAAGTCTTAATTCCACTTTAATAGATTCTTCCAATCCATTAATGAATTGACTTAAGAAAATCTGTTCTGGAATTCCGTCTAACGGTGCCGCAAACTCGACAAATCTCCTTCTATAATCTTCAACTGATCCTTCTTGTCTCACCAATAGAAACTGTTCACACAACGAACCTGCTGTCAACGACCTAAATTGTCTTAACAACAAATGTTTCAGATCCTCCCATCTTGTAATAGGGTGTCGCTTATGCTCCCACTGGAACCACTTTAGTGCATCTCCTTCAAAAGAAATAAACGACACGTCAATTTTCTCTTTTTGACTCAACTGATTCAACATGAAATAACGCTCAGCTCTCAAAATCCATCCGTCGGGATCTCTGCCATCGAAAACAGGGATCTCTAATTTGCGCCCCTTCACCGCCAAAAATCGATTCTGATTATTTCGATTTCTGTCTCTTTGTTCCCCTCTTGCAGCTGTTTCTTCATCGGAYGAATTGGACGTGTTCGTTCGATTTACAAAATCRTTCCTCAAATCTTCGATTTGTTGTACAATACGCTCCAGGTTTMTTTCGATTGATCCTACGCTACTCTCCAAATCTTCAATTCGATTGTTAACGCTTCGAGTCGTGACATTCGCCATCCCTAATCGTAACGAGCTCTGATACCAATTTGTTATACCCTAGCCCAAATCGTAAACATAAACGCACCCACTGGCTAAATTCGTAAACGATTATAAACAGAAACAGAATTACAGTAGCTAGAATTTCTTATTTGGAACGAATAAGATTGAAATTGTCGGCCAATCTTTATCGATACAGAATTGATACGCTTCCCAGACTTTCGAGAGGTCTGGGCATCTCTCCCCGAGCTTACGCTCTCAACAGAACTCACCAGCAAATGAAAACAGAATACTAACTATGACTAACAGCTTCCTATTTAAGCAAAACAGAATTACCAATCTACCCCTCCCTTTTATTCGTGTCTACAGCAAAGACTAAACAGACCCAATTAACTTCCTCTTCTATAAGTGAACCTCAAAGGAGGTTTATCATTATCCTTGTACATCTCCATTGAAATAGCCATCGAATCTTACAACTCTTGTACCAATTGGCATGCCTATTCTCACAAGTCACAAGCTTTCAGTGCCATAGTTCATTTTCCAGAGCTAGAATTGAGAAGAGAAACATCATGTTCATTACTTTCAAGGATTTAGGATTTCTAATACGACCAACACTTATTGTTATATGGACATCCTACACAACTTGTAATTCAAGTTTGCCCCTTCTTTGAATGCAAAAAATATTAACATTTACATGAATTACATTGGAGATGCCTCATCAGCAATGTCACATCTCAATCAGTAGTAGAAAGGAAGACAAGTTGACTTAAAGACAAAATGTCTTTTGTCAACGTTAATATAGGACCCTACTTGAGCCCTGTTGAAACAGGGTTTTCTTTTAGACAAGCCGTTGGTCTTTTCGTAGTACAATTCGTGCTACAACTAGCAGCCCCTTACTAGTAAGGGAAAAGGCTAGGCATGACCAGAAGAATTGCGTGAAATAAGTGAATTTATTTGGACCAAGTTGATATACACATTGGAAAGCAATTTTAATCCTGGTTATAGTGAGATAGTTCAATTTTTGCGGCCTTTCTAGTCTATTGTGGTTCTTGGCTCATTAAGAAGCACATCATTGTTCAGATAAAATCTTGACACTCAGAATGATTATAGAGTTTGCTGCAAAAATGCAAAGCACATCAACCTTGACCATGATATCATCAATACATACTTCACACTCATTAGGTCAGATATTGGCTACAGAATCTACCCAAGTACTTGAGGATCTTGGAGTCCTCCATCTTAAATTCTATTCCAGTGACAAAGTTCTAATGATGATAGATCTAGTGACTAGTGGGATTCAGATGGATGTAAAGGGATTTAGACCATCCGACCTGCTTCTTATTTGGGAGTTACCTCAATTCATTGAGATTAAGTTTGGTTGAGAGAGTGTCTGAGTGTAAGTGAAATGAAGTGTTAAAAATTTCTTTACGAGTTCTATTATCTTTAGCCATAGATCGCCCACGTGTTGTTTCTTTAAATTATGAAGGTCGCTGGAGAGTGGAGAGTATCTGGGTAGTTCTGTTCCTAACTTATTTTCTTTTAGGCCTACAGTTTGCTGGTCATTCAGTGCTGGAGGCCTCTTTGGTTAACATGTTTTTTCATGGATGAGCCCCCTTAGGTGGCTTATCTATGCCATCCTCTTAGGCTTTTTAGTTTATTTATCTTGGAGTGAGACCTGATTCATGTAACTTTGGGTGTCCTTACCTAGCAACATCAGATCTAAAATCCCCACAGAAGATTAGAGCAATGTCTTTGCCACGTCAGAATTTGAAATATGCCATCTTAAATTTCTCCCAAAGCTTTGACAGAAACTGAGAAAACCAAATCCTAGGAGGCAAGGAACTTACGTAAGGCTATACAAAATGATGCGGTCAAGAACTGCTTACACATCTTCAAGAGATGCTGAATGTAACTGGTTAGATCAATGATTCAATCTTCTGTAACAGAGGACCAGCAAATCTCCGAGACAAGGTTTCTTTGGGGGAACACTTGACGATCACGTCAATGGAGGCGTTTTCCAAGACGAACAAGAATGTAGAGTATGAGTTTTTTCAGTTTTATTTAGAATGAATTAAATCATACCCTGTCAGGTTTATATATCCTCCATGAGAGGATTACCATGGGAGTAGGACTCTCAGTTTGTGAGGGTGCGTTTTGTATGCTGGACAGGACATGACAGAACAAGATGTCCCACGTTTGACGCAACATTATATTGGGACAGCACATGACTAAGTGGCACAAAAATGCATTTTTTATTTGTCCTGCGAAAATCGGCGGAACAAAGAAGGGAATAAGACAAAATTGGTAAATTACTAAACTACCCATGTGAGTTTAGAACCCTAAAACCCTCCACAATTCTTTCACCCGCTTACCTAACTCTCGTCCTCCAGTCCCGTATGCATACAAACACACCCAAAGTGTCCACTAAGAGTTTTGAGCATCTATTGAACTCTTGCTTCCCTTTTATGGATGCATTACAAGGTCACGGTCAGGGGAGCCGTAGGGAATGCGATGACTTAGAGAAATAAGAATATAGAGGACATGTATATACAGAATGAATTAAATCATCTCCTTGTTAGGTTTACATGTAAGGATTACTACAGGAATGAGACATTCTGTTTGTGAGTATCCACCCAGAGGTTTTGAGCTTCTATTGAACTCTTCAAAAATGATCTGAAAACCTTTTTAAAATGCATGCTCTAGTGTTCAACGATACCATTGTGTCGAGGGGTGTAAGCACAAAATACTTAATAAAAGGTGGCTAAATTGACCGGAATAGCCAATCTCCTCACTCCTCTTCACTTTATAGCTACCTTTTTAATATAATTCACTAAATAGCCGGATTTACTTAGCTTGCGTGATCCACTTTTTCTATTTGAAAAATAAGAAAAAATGGGTCCACTTGTGTAAAAATAAGAAAAGATGGGTCCACTTGCATAAGAAAAAGAAAAGAAAAAACGGATTATGTTGGATGTGTAAATTATATTTGCGTAAAATCCGGCTATTTAAGGAATTACATTAAAACAGTGGATATAAAGTGAAGTGAGGTAGGTTGGCTATTTCAGTCAATTTCCCGTCTCTTAAAAAAAAAAACTACATCTAAGCTTTTAATGATCATGGTTTCACAGGTTAAGTTTGTTATATGATGCATAACCAATGAAACCATGATTATGATTATGATTATGATTATGATTAAATTACTAGCAAGTAATAGTTGAGTGATAAGTTTTGTTGGTTATTTTTTTCCTTCAGAATTTGGCCCTTTATAAAGAAAAGTATGATGAGATGCTGCCATGAACCATGAAAGGAGGTAAATGCTTTTCAAATTGTTTATGGAGTAACCTGAATTCCAAAATCATATGTATATTTGGTTCTTTTATTTACCAACCAGTTATATAAGTTTTAGCTACCTTTTGTAATCGGTTCCGGTTAAAAACCGATGGCCCCATCAAACTTCTCCGTAACCGGTCCTTAGAACCGGGCACCAATCGGTCCTTTGTTTTTTTTAAATCGATTTTCAACATATGGAAAATAATTTTTGAAGATTCTTTTAGCATATAAAAATGTTATTCAAATACACTTTAAAATATATAATTAAATTAATCAAATATACTTAAAAATACGTTTGATCATGATCTCGTTATAAAATCAATTTAACATTCAGTTTACATTTTTAAATAACTATAATAGAAATTGGTTTTCAATCTTCCATCAATGTAATCCTCAAACTTGTGTTCCTTGAAGGTTAACAAGAGCCTCAAGGTCAAGCTCATCATCATCGTCAAATGTTGAGTAGGTACCGTTGGTATCGGTAGTTGGTGGCATTGGTAGGTTTTAGGAGTATTCGTTTTCTTCAAGTTATGTCTCTATTGATGTCGTGTGTTGAGTTCTTGTATTGTTATCCAAATAATCTTTCAAGCACACACCACACTCCACGGACTCCAGGCTAAGTCATGTCCCCCGCATCGAAATGATCCTGGCACAAAAAGAAAAAAAACGGACCATGAAGCTCCATTACTAGTTTGGATTGTTAGTATATCACGGGCCATGGCGGCTAAAGTTGGAAATTGCGGGGTTTTTTGTTTCCACTATTCAAATAAATCAATATTTTTAAAATCATCAACATTACAAACGGAAATAAAATTAGTGTGCATTTACATATTTAGTTCATCAAAGTCGGTATCAAATCTAGAATTTTTACTCGTAAGATTTTGAATCTCGTTAAATAAGTTAGTCATTAATTTCTTCCGGTTTTTGCGTTGATAACTAGAACTAGAACTAGAACTCGAGTTATCACGATTTGAAGAGTTTTGCTTTTCACTTCTTGCGTCACAAATTTTTTTATGATGGTCAAATAAATTGCTAAAATTACGATTAAACTTGCGTATTTATTCTTTTAAATAATCATCACCATTATCTTTACTTAAACTAAAAGCCAAACATATATGTGAAATTAAAACTTCGATTATGGTAATATTTAAATACGGATTTTAACGTTGCGGCACATGTAAAGGAAAAAGTGATCTCTAAAAACATTTTAGCAATTTTTTTAATTATTGCAACCCCAGCTTCCAAATCGGGATTGTCTTTATATTGTGCTATTTTAGTTGCCAAAATAAATGTTTGATTTAGAAGTAAAGGGCTTGTTCGATAAAATAAACACCAGATAAAAGAGTTGTTGCATTTTTAAAATCGTTAAAAATATCGTATAATCTCTCAAGCACTCCCCAATCTAATACATTAATAGTATTACGAGAATAATAATTATTATAAAATGTATGCAAATATTGTCTTTATTTTACCAAACTTTCAATCATAAAATAAGTCGAATATCAAAGTTCGGTCCGAAAGCTTTAAAACCAACATCCTCACAATATTCCTATATGAAGCGAACATTTTTTACCTTTTCCAAAAATTCCCTATAACATTAACCTAAATTTATCTAATAGGGGTTTAACTAGTTTTAAATTGTTTTCGATGGCTAAATTGATTATATGTGCATAACGAGTATGAAATACGTCTAAATATGTTTCATACCCAACACTAATTTCAACACACATCCGGTATTATTACTAGTGTTATCAAATGAAATACTAACTATTTTAGAATTTAAATTATAAAATTAAAAGATTTTTTAATAATTGAAACTAAATGGTCACCGGAATCAAACGCGATAACATATTTACTAATTGCCATAATTACGACTCAATCCAATGTGTCATTATGCATGTATAAGAATGTGGTAAACTCTATGACACGCTCCATACATCACACTTTAACGAAACACAACTTGGTAAAAGAGAAAACATTTGTTGCATTTCCACAATTTTATTGCATCATGCCTAAAAGTTTGATGATTTACCAGCTTGTGGTGTGGTTGTAATGTTTTTGGGAAGAGATATGTAATGTGAATGTTGTCAAAATGTCCGAACGGCAAACCCTACTCGAAGGACATATTGTATTGTCATTTGCGGGTTCAAATTGGCATTGAACATCCATATTTCATCTTGTCTATCGAGTATAGGTTGACTCGAATCATCTTATGTCGACTTTAACCCCATGCATGTTTTTTCGGCTAGACGCTTCAAGGTTAAATTTCTTTTGTCTGTAAAGAGAGCTAATTTCTTGCAATCATAATTTTTCTGGATTAATCTAGGCATAGTCTGAAACACCCTTAAAAAAAAGAGACCATGAACATTTTGCCTTAATATTGAATCTCGGACTTTCGTTGGTGTTTGACGAGAACATGGGAAATGGGATCGTTGGGTGAATCATCAACGACAACGATAGCATGATAGGCCATTTTGTTAGCAACAACACTAAAACAAGAGAAAGAGAAATCAAGTAGGAGTTGTTAAAAAGTGAAAATCAAATATGAGAAAAAATCACGAATTATAGGGAAAGTTATGAATGTTTTTTGCGTTTGTAAGTTGGTATCCTTCCCCCGTACACCACATGACTTATATATAGTGTAGATGGGTTAAAAGGGACAAAAACAGTCAAAAAAATGGGAAAAAAAATGTTCCCAACGTCTATAAAAACAGTCGCAATTTTTGAAAATCAGGCTTAGAGTGTAGCGGGTCCCGGGACTGGATCGTGTTTTCGTTGTGGAATGTGCAACCGGTCCCTAAACGACGGTCCGATATCGGTCCTAGTCCTCAGCCGGTCCTGGGCTCGCTCGGGCCCTTTTTGGCCATCTTTAGTTGCGACAAGATTTGTCATCTAAGTTATTTCAAACCAAAACGCTCCCAATAGAAACAATTGTGTTACAATAGAAAATGTTGAATATTTATGGATTTTTGTTTCAACGGTTATGTTAAATGGTATGCTAAAACAGAGAAAAGAAGATAGGTAAGGTGAAAATATCCAAATTTGAAGAAATCTCTATAAGCATCTCCAACAAATATGCTATATTTTATTTTTTTCTTTAAAATTTGAAGATTTTTCATTCTCTCCTTTGTTTTTTTTTCTCTATTTTAGAGGAGAGTTTAGCATAACTTTTGGAGTAAAAAAAAATTCTCAAATCTCCAAAATTTCCAAAATAACATAATTGTTGTAGATGTCCTAAAACTCTATAGAAGAGAGAGAAATAATATTCTAATACTGTTGGTTTCAACCATTTGATTTGATAGTAACACAAAAATATCTGATTGAACACTTAGGGGTTGTTTGGATCATGGGAATTTGGTGGAATTGAAAGGAATTGGAATGTCCAATCATTTGACCAAATTCCAAATATGATGTTTGGTTCACAGATTATAAGTGAAGGGATCCTTTCAATTCCTACAAATTCATTTGGTCACGGATTTCACGATTCCACTTGATGTACCAAGGATTTCAAATTCTTTTCCTACGAATTCCTTAGCCCTCATCCAAATTTCAGATATTAGTAATATAAGTGAACAATTTCAAATTTTATCTGATGTTAATAATGTAATTTGGTTTAATGGTAATTTTAATTTTTTTTAAACGACAAAAAAAATCATAAAATGTCATTTGTTGATATTTAATTCCGATTCCAAAGTTGAATTCCGTGAACCAAACAAAAAAATTCCAATTCCATGCAACCAAACGCAATCACAAGGCATGGTCAAATTCCATCAGATTCCATTCCATTCCCTCAAAGTCATATTCATTTGATGAATTCCAATTCCATCGAATTCCATTATACGAACCAAACGCCCCCTTAGAAATATTCTTGAAGTTATGTCTCCCTTTAAAACAAAACATTTCCATGGGCCTCTGGAATCATCATCTCGACGTAGTATCTAGATTAGAAAGCATGCATTTCATATATGTATTTACACCCGGATTTGGATATGTGGAAGTAATGAGGATCCAAATAAGATACAAGATCTAGATTTAATACTTCATAAATCATAAGTCTTGTTGGAATTTGAAATATAACTTATGTTACGAAAAGAAAATTTGGAAATAGAATTTTTCCCTTAGTAAAAGTCTTAGGTGGCGTTTGTTTTTTAAGAGGTGCTGAAGTCTGAAGTCTGAATTCACTTCTGAATTTTAAGAGGTGATGCTGAAGTCTGAAATCTGAATCAGTCAGACTATTTGTTTTTACGTCTGAAAACTGAATCAGTAAGACTGTTTGTTTTTGTAAACTGAGACAAGCAATGTAAGGAGGCGATAGAAATAAGAGGTTTTAAGTGCTAGGGTTACCACTTAAAAATTCATAGGAAAATAAACGAATTCAGCTCTTAATTTGAAAAAAAAAACAAACGATCTGAAAGTTCTTATGTCTGAATCGAGTGAAAAATTAAAAAAACAAGCAGCCCCTTAATGTTATCTTTATTGGTCCAATGTAAAAAACCTTGAACAAAATTGAAAACTAGTTAAAGTTAAGCTAAGATAGTTATTAAAGCGGATTGCATTGTCATCTAGCCGATTGAAGACCAATAGAAAAGTAGTATGATCAATACAACTTTTGGCGAGTCTATTTTTGAGTACAAACATAACTCACAAGTTTGGTTCACCAACTTTACCAACTCTTGTTTTGATATGAGAACATGCTCAATATATCAGACTAAGCAAGTTCAAAAGTATTATTTTATTAGTAATATATTTTCTTTAGTGTGTTCCCTCTACATACAGAATATCGAGCTGTGTTAGCAAACGTCTACATCAATATCAAAAGACTGAAACGAAGAGTACATGCATGCATTGATCGACAAATCAGATGAAGATATGCATTAAAGTTGGATAACATCATTTAATGCAATAGTGGCTATAAAATGTCATCTTTGTCAAATGCTACAACTCACACATTTTGACAGGGTTTCGAGATGATAGTTTTTTAGGCAAAATCGACGTCATATGTAAGACTATTTTAGTTCTTCAAATATGAAAGAGTACCTTCTTTTATTACTCTATCAGTCTTTGTCATCATCAAGATTGTTTATAATCTAGTCTTACCAAATTTTGATCTCGATTCGACCCAAACCTACCTGAGGTCAAATAGACACATTAAACATTAACTTATCAAAATTACTACAAAAAATAACGATTATATCCATAAATCTAAAATATATTAAATTTATAAAAACATTATATTTCAGTTTCTCAAACCTTACCTTTTGATGTATTGGGATACTGACGAAAATAACCCTTTAGAATAGGTTATTCACAATTTTGACCCTAAGATTAAAGTTTTTAACGAAATAGTCATCTATTTCCCTGTTAGCACGATTAGGTGCGTACAATGACTAATGTGCAATTTACAAAAATTATGTTTTTTTTAAATTAGGCGATGGGTCCCACCCTTACACATCGGCCGATGCATGATGTGTAAGGGCCCCACCCGGCTGATTAAAAATTTATTTTTTTAAAAAAAATAGTTTTTTGTTAGAAATTTAATTTTTTTAAAGAAATTTAATATTCAATTTCCTCTTTCCCAATACAACACTATTCAATATTCTTCTTCTTAATATAACACTATTCAATTTCCTCCTTCCTAATACAACTTTAGTCAAAATTTATTTATTTTTTTAAAAATATTTTTTCTTTAGAAATTTAATTTTGTTAGACATTTAACTTTTTTTTAGAAATTTAACTTTTCTTTTGAAATTTGTTTTTTTTTTCTTTCAAAATTTAATTTTTTAGAAATTTATTTTATTTTAGAAATTTAATTTTTTTTTAAATTTTTTTAAAAAAATTTCAATACATAACCCTATTTTTTTCTCATTGTCAATACAACCCTATTTATTTTCTTCTTTCACAATACAACACTATTTATTTCCCCCTTCCCAATACAAAACACTATTTAAATTTGTTTTTTTCGTTCTCAACCCCACTAAATAAACATTTCAAATTTCATACTACCAGCATAAAAACAACAGTTCAAAAAAACACTATGTATATATATATATAGGGTTGAGTTCACGTGAGACCAAGGGTTTTTCGTGAGACCCTTAAGACCAATTTATGTTCATTGATCAACTTTATAAGTTAATGATCTAATGGTCTAAATTGCACGGTGGCAATTTTGTGATTATTGAGAAGTCTCGTGGCGTTTATGAATGTTTAGATTATCAAATTGTAACCCGACCCGGTGGGGAACCCGGTTCACCCGACCCGAACGGGGACGAGGATTCCCCGCTAAAACGGGTACCGGGGCCGGGGCCGGGGCCGGGGATCCCCGGTAGAGGCAAACCGGGGCCGGGGCCGGGGATCCCCGGTAGAGGCAAACCGGGGCCGGGGCCGGGTATTGTATCCCCCGACCCGCCCCGCACCCGGTATATATATAAATATTAACATTTTGATTATTTTGGCTTATAATTGATATGTGCGGCCTGTTGGACTTATGGACTTGGGCTTTGTAATTGATATGTCCAAATTTCAATCCTCTTCTACTCTTCTTGACTAGATATGATGTAATTATATTAACACTTGTTTTAAATTTTACGTTTCTTTGGATTATTGTTAATTTTACAATTTTATTATTTTTATTAGGCAAGACTAGATATGATGTAATTATGTTGTTATGTTGAACATGCTTAGAAAAAACTTATTAATTTTTATTTGACCGGGTGTTGACCGAAGGTTGACCGGAGGTTGACCGGGGTTGACCGAAAGTTGACCGGGGCCGGGGCCGGGGCCGGGGACTGTGTGTATAAACCGGGGCTGGGGCGGGGGATTGCAAACCCTGCCCCATCCCCGCCCCGTTGCCATCCCTATATCAACCTCAGTATCACCTGTTTCATATCCAGGGGACATTTGAAACTCCAAATCAGTCGTACAACACTCCATATAAGTCATACGAAAATCGTCCGACATACCAATACCAAGATCTACGATCTGATTATGTTCGTATTTCTGAAATTTCTGCCATAGAATATGACGCCAATTTAGATGACACTGAAAATACATCTTAGAAATATAAGGTTGATCTTGATCCTTATTATGGGGCTGTCTCGGGGGATTGTTTGTATCATCCCAATATAGATGAATACCTAGGGCTACAATCAGATAGTAGTGATAGCGAATCTAATACGGAAGATAAAAGAAAGGGCGAAGGAGGGAGATAAAGAAGGTCTTGGTGGGGGTAATATTAGTGTTCCGGTGGGTTGTAATTTATTTTGGGGCGTGCCTCCCCCATTACCAACGCCAGTCCCTATAGTGAAGCCTAAATAAGCGGCCCCCAAATATCAACGTTCTAAACGAGTTAAAGTTGGGCAAATTTTCAAGAGTAAAGAAAACTTGAAACTAGCCCTAAGACTGAAATGTCTTGAAGAGGGTTACTAGATGAAAACCACCCGCTCCACACGATTTAGGTTCAAAGCAGTATGTATATTAGAAAAGTGTGAATGCCGAATAAGAGCAACTGTAATTAACAGTATGGTGTTGTATCATGTTCTTATGTTTAAAGACTTGCACACATGTTCACAAACGCAAATGTATCCTAATCATCGTCAAGCAAACAAGAAGGTGTTAGGTCATATACTAAAAGATGCAATGAATGACACAAGTAGAGTGTACAAGGACCATGACATCATCGTTGATATGAAGAACAACTACAAAATCTCAGTTAGCTATATGCAAGCTTGGCGTGCAAAATGTTATGCCATTCTCCTCCTAAGAAGTGACCCGGCGGAATCATTTTTCTTACTCCTGGTATACTGCTACAATTTGGAAAAGGCTAATCCAGGGACCCTGACAAAGATCAAGACAAATGAACTAGCATGGTTTGAGCGTTTATTTGTTGCCATTGGTTGTGCGGTAAGAACATTTTCATTGAAGTTATCTGTATATATATATATATATACACACTATTTTTATATATACTCATTTTGTTTGTTCTTTTTCATTTTTTTACAGATTCGATTGTTTGTGAATCACTTAGGACCCCTGATTATAATAGACAGTGCTCATTTAAAAGTTTCTTACTTAGGTACCATGTTTTTGGCGGTTAGCATAGACGGAAGCAATCAAAGTTTGCCTATTGCTTACGGGGTAGGCAAGAGTGGGAGTCTTGGACATGGTTTTTATCCAAGTTGAAAGAATGCAACGGTGAGCCAAAAAAAATTGTGCATCATATATGATCATGTTGCTTCCAATGAAGCCATCAGTGACCCAAGCTAGGTCAATGTTATGTAAGAATAACTCTCCGAGTTTGAAAAAAACAAGGTCTGGTACCTTATCCCTCGTCCATCCATCAAAATTGTTATAGGTACCACATGGATATATCAAAACAATTTGGATAAATATGGCACTATAACCTTAAATAAGGCTAGACTCGTTTCTCAGTTATACAGACAAGAAGAAGGCATAGACTATGATGAAACATTTGTTCCAATGGCTAGACTCAAAGCAATTCGACTATTCTTAGCCTGTGATGTTCATAAAGACTCTAAGGTCTATCAAATAGATGTAAAGAGTGTCTTTGTTCGTAAGTTGAGCTATATAAATATGCATTGTATTTTAACATAATAATATACATTGTATTTTACATAGTTTAAAAGCTCAACTTTACTAAAATCAAATACTCAATACATGTTTTTTTTTAATAAACTATGAACAACAACAAAATTGAATTACAGTCTATTTATATTTATTTACAAAATTTTGTAAATTCATATTTGGTTTTCTAAAAATAGAAACATTTGTCAGACGTTATGTTTTGTGCAGTTTGTACGTCTTTTTAAAGATATAAACACGAAATCGTTGTTAAATAAACCCAAAACTATGCCGTTTAGGCATGCAATCTTCACACTCTAATATCGAGCCAGTAGCATACGAGAAGCCCTTTCGAAGCCTCATACACTTATTCTTCATCTCGGTTTCGATAGCGAACACCGCACAAACCGGTCTATGATCCGAGAATCTCGATTCTCCTCGTATATACAATAATTGTTCAATCCCATTTCCACGCCACAATATCCGATCACACCTGAATCGATCCAGAAATATAAAAAACGTCTTATAAAAACAAGTCTAGTTAGAAAACGATGATATACAAGAGAGATCGAGACGGACAAACCATGCTGGAGTTCGTCGTTTTTTCTTGGACTTGACGGTCTCTCCGGCATAAGAATCCGAATTATGTGAATATTTGTAGGTTGGAGCGAAACCTATCTTTCCTTCGCTCCAACCACTGAAAACTCTTCCTGCTTCTCTCTCCATGTTCAACTGTATAAATTGAATAAATAACGGAAAAAATTAGTGAACGACAAAAGTTTCAAAAGTCGAACTCGGTTTACTGATAATTATTACAGTATTTTTGAAACAGTGGATGTTCGGGTCAACTTGAAGGTAAAAAAGAACGACAAACCTGATCCTTCTCCAAAAGAGCGTCCCAGTCGTTATTCTCTAGCAGCGTTCTCGTTTCCTCGTAGCTTAAAGCCATTCTATAATTCAAGTCTCCAAGCCACAATATTCTACTGCATGCATATTCGGGTTTATGTTTATTTGGCTGGTTTATGAGCTAACAGCTAACTTATCAGCCAATACGTCAGTTTCAGTCAAATGTTGAAAAGGGAATTGAACAACATACTCATGATCGATGATTCTTTCAGGCGAATAGCGACCGGGATTCTTGCAGTTTCGTGGGAAATGGCTGTTCTTCAAGATTTCTGCGACATCCGAGTTTCTCCTAACTTCATCGCCTTCCTTCTCGCCGGATGCCAAGTGACTGCACACAAAGCAAAAGCTCGTACGATGTAATGTAAAGCTTATCGATATACACCCCTGCAAATTACACCAAAAACCACGTTTTCATACGGTGTATATAGACGAGTAGACCAATAATCAAATACGAACATAATAAATGTTAAAAACCCATAAAAGCCGATCTAAACCATTCGATGAGTTTGATTTAAAGTTATGATTCATATGTTTGTTTTTGTGTATTTTAGTGTTTTTTTCCACATGCAAAACAACCATATGAACGTTTCAGATATGAAACAACATTATATGAACATTGAATCTTCGTCGTGTATTGTTTGAACAGAAGAAAACCTGTTTGAACATTATGATCCGTCTTAGCACAATCCGTGTTATCAAGTTCATTACCAACGTACCTTGTTTCCGAGATACCCCATGATTCCTCTTCCGACACAAGAGATCCCGAGATGTCCGATATGTTGAACCAACTCTTTTCGAGCCCAAACCGAAAGAAAGAGTCCAACCATCTGTTTGCTGGCTACAAGACAGTAAGGCATTGGAGTCACCGATAACAAATCGTCAATTGTTGATCGAAATGAAACCGATCCGGATCGCATTTTGTTCGATGCCGATGATGAGGTGATCGTTTCGCAATTGCAGGCTTTGAGAAGGCCACCATCTGCCTTTATATTTCTACTTAGGTTTTTCATCGATGGTTTATGAAATAACTTGGGTTTTAGGTCGTGGGTCGTATGGTTCGAGCCTGGGTTCGGACGTGTTGCTTTGTTGAGTGCATGGCTGATCAGTGCGATCCATCTTGCTGCTGGTTCATTGTCTTCGAGCACCAACACATTACCAGCACTTAAGGGTACAATTTCTTGAAACCTACGATTTATAGTACACCAAACATGTACAAGTGTTATAATAAACGTCTTTATAAATCACACAACTATGAATCCTATATTAAGGGGGTGTTTGGGATTGCTTATAAAAACAACTTATTAACTTATTCCGGTATGGCAATGGTAATAAGCACTTTTGATTGTTTAGATAAACAACTTATATCGGTGGTAATTAGGAGTTTTTGAAGAAGTTAAGCCCTTTTAAAATCAAGTGTCGTATTAGCCATGATAAATTCAATAGTTACAATTGTTGTGTATGTTTGGAATTGAACCCTGGGAAGATGGGATATTCCACCGCATACACCATAACCTCAACCACTATATCACAACTCTTTTGGCTCTATTGGTTATTTTATAAGGTATTATTTGAAATTTTATCATATTAAATTGCGAATATGACACTTTATTTTAGAAATGTTAAAGAAACTTGTTAAAATGTCAAAAAAAACCGTTATATAAACTTATTGTAACATTTTTAGATGGGGTGTTTTATTGTTTGATCCTATAAACTTAGTATTGTAAAAGATGCCAAGATATTTAGGTCCTATGAACTGAATTTCGTTGCAATGACATGACACTTTTGAAAAATTTCTTATGAACACATCTTTTATATGACATTTGTTTTTATAAGACACTTTATTAGGACGCTTCAGGGCCGTTTAGGAAGCAATTACTGGGTTGGTCAAATGCAAACCGAGTGAGTAAGGACTAAGAATTTTACCCGGTAAGTCATGAAAGTGACTCTTACCCGGTTAGCACTGACCAAGTAAGATTGTTGTCTACTATGCCCATTTTTATGGCCAATAATATTCTTACCCAGTAACGCCATTAGTAAGAGTGGTTACTTTTACCCGTAAGCATTTGGTAAACAATCATTTAGACATATTTGTCGTCCTATGAACTCGATTTTATTGTAATGACATTCATAAATACGAACAAATATATCGAATTTTGGAACACCATAACCCGTCGAGGGTCGATTCAGCTCATTTGAAAATGTTATTAATGGTGGGATATGAAAAAAGAAGAATCATACCCTAACACATATATGTCTGCAGGTCCATCGACATGCAAGAAATCTTCGAGATCCAGTGCGTAATCTGGGCTTTTGCCTCCAACATTCCACGTTGCTACGAACACCCTACGGATCGAAATCAACGGTTTAATTACTCGATCAACAACTAGTTTAGCGATGGTTAAGTTTTAGCAGTCATCAACACGTTAAAACATGTGAAATCCTTTTGAATCTCTAAATATCTAAAAAGAGTCCTTATAGAAACGGGACATTACTACATATATGGAGGGTTTTTATCATCCATGTGTAGCTGATTGGGGACTAAAGCACTTCTAAAAGAGGGATGAGAGAATTTATATATATATATATATATATATATATATATATATATAGGGTTGGGTTCACTTGAGACCAATTTATGTTCATTGATCAACTTTATAAACTAATGATCTAAAGTTGCACAGTGGCAATTTTGTGATTATTGAGAAGTCTCGTAGCAATTTTATGATTATGAATGTTCAAATTGTAGATCTAATCCAAGTGTTGAGAATTGGTGTTACGGGTCTCATGAAAAACTTTTGGTCTCACATGATCTCAAGTATATATATATATATAGAGGTGAGTTATTATACAACCCTTTGCATTTGTACAACCAATACAACCCAATCTTAACCGTCCATTTAATTTAATGAATATGTAATTTCATAGAAGTTTTGTTTGTTTCCTAACATCAAGTATTGATCATAATTAATGGACCTTATTCATCTTCCATAAATATTCAAATCATAAGAAATAAACTCTCATCATTTCTATAAATATCTCAATTTATTGAGTTGCATTGGTTGTACAAATGGACATGGTTGCATTTGAAATATACCTCATATATATATATATATATATATATATATATATATATATGGAAGGTTAAAACGAGAATACTAATTATTAAAGAAAATAAGAAAAATATCGTTAATGTACAAAATCATATATGATTCACACACACACACACGTATATATTCACGTACGAAATCATACAGGTTTAAAAATCATCCGCTTCCTTTTTTTTAATGTTAATGTAAAATCACATGTGATTTTACATTAACATTAAAGACATTTTTCTTGTTTTTTTAAATAGTTAGTGTTCTTGTTTGACCCTTCATTTCTCTATTTCTTTCTCTCTCTCTCTCTCTCTCTCTCTCTCTCTCTCTCTCTCTCTCTMTATWTATATATATATATATGGGCTCCTTCAATTGTTAACCAAACAATTGATGTTAACTATGTGAAAAATCGAGCCTTTAATTTATATACTCTACGGTTTAAATTGATCTGAGGGCATGATTGTAATAAATAAAAAACAGATGCTTGTTAAACATTACTGAACAAGAGTGAATAAGGGTAATTTTAGGAAAGATCATTAATTTAGTTCGGGTTCATAAGTGAACTTGTTCATAAGTGACATAGTGAATGTACACCATGGCACTACTTAGAAACTGGACTTTCACTGACGGATATTTCCCACGAAGATTTCCGTCAAAAATTAGTGACGGGCTTCCTACAGAAACTGCCATCGGTGAAAGTCTCGTTTTTTTAGTAATGTGGGTAAACATAGTCCATATGTGAATGTGTCAATAAAGAAACAATGAACTCATGTTTTCATGTCCAAATTAACGAGGACCATAGATATGGTTTCTCATTGGTCCAAAAGAATTTGCAAAGTTAACACTATTTGTTTGATTAACAAAAGATCCTCCTATGTATATACACACACACATATACATATATATATATATATATATATATATATGTGCACTTTTAATCGTTTGGGTCTAATTGATGTAGAACTGTAAAAGGAGTACCATTTAGCATCACAAACATTTGAAAGTGAGTAAATTTCTGATACAAGAGTTTCATACCTAAAATCTTTAACCACGCTCCTCGGAGTCGAATCTTGATCAAGACTCGAGATGTTCTGGCCTTCCATCTCAAAGGTACGACTTTGTGTCGTTGCTGAAACCCAAACACGATGTTATACTTATAGTTTTTCATTCAAGTTTTCAATGTTGAAATAGTGAAACTGGTCACATTTTCAATAATAAACACAGGGTGTTGACAAAGTTTTCACAAACGTATTTTGGATGTTGTCAATTAAGTAAAACGAAACCGAAAACATGAATCAAAATGTTTGAAGGATGTATGTGAAATGGTTAGAACAAAAAATATGGTGCTAAATAGATGCATATCGGATATCCGATCACCAAATTTCTTGTTTCATTCGTACACACACGCACACATATTTATTATTATTATGAGAACCATGAAAATGTTAAGAATCATGAGGATCTTTTTTAATATATCGTTACAGATTGTGAAACAATACAAATGAAAATACAACGTTGTTTGACAGCATTAATGCATGCTTATTTCTTGTGAAGGTTACTTTCATAGTGTTTTGCTGTGAAATTTCAAGTGTAAAAATATTGTCTCACATGTCTCACGAAAACAATTTTGTCTCACATGATCCCAAGTCTATCTAATATATATATATATATATATACACACACACACACAAGTTGTGTGTGTATGTGTATGATTGGTTCAAAAGCGAACACCATCGATTTGCGAAAACGCAAAAACACATATATACTATAATTATTCACATGTGATACATTGTTCTCAATTTTCATAACAAAGGTCGTGTTTTTGTTTAGAAAATATTCAGAAAAAAAGTGAAAATCTAAAAAACGGAAGCAAATACCAAAAATCGTTAGCTTGAGATCATGTAGAGGATGTAATTAAGGGGCCGTTTACCAAACATTTACTCAGGTAAGTGAACATCAAGTCACATTACCTTAACGGATGAATATGGTAAGGACCAAAAATCTTAGCAGGTAAGAGCGAAACAAGGACCAAAAGTCTTACCCGGTAAGTAAGAGTGATGACTCTTACCATGGTAAGAGCTTACCGGGTAAATTATTGCATACGATACCGTTTTGGTGAACTAAAATCTAACCCAGTAAGTAAGTGATAGTGTCAAATTTAACCGACAAACGTTTATCGGGTAAGGGTTTGGTAAACGACCCCTAAAGCAGTGGTTTCAATCGCATTTTCTTAAAATAAAAACCATCCCCCTTATTTATTTGATCAAAAATTGATGAAATATAAAAAAGAATTAAATTATTCAAAAAAATAATAATAACGTTCATTATTTTATTTATATTTAATATATTTTTTTTATGGTTTTTGGTGTTTTTCTGGATTTACACGTGGAAACCAGAAATTTGTGTAATTTATATCCATGTATTAATTTGGAAAGCCATGGTTGACTAATTAAAGTCAACATTAGGTAAACTACCCTAAACAAAGAAAGACAAAAAGAGAAGCAACAATTGCGTGGTTTAAATTAGAGCCGTATAATATAATTAGAAGGTTGTTCGTATAATGCAACGAGATACATTTTGATTTTAATATTTTATTTTATATTTTGGGTCTATCAATGTTATAATGCGATTTTATGTGGTTGTAAAAAAAAGAAAATATTTTTATTTTTAAATGAAATATAAATTTGAAGATATTATAAAATTTTGATAAAAATATGTGATATTAGTATCAAATTAATTATTTAAAAGTTCTTTTTTGCGTAATTTCTTTAATTTATTTTTTTATTATGATTTAATTGAACTTTAAAAACGAACTAATTATTTTAGGTTTAATAAAATAATTTATTTAAGATAATAATTAAGTATTCTGTTAGAACTTAATGATTATCTTAATTATATTTTCGATTTTTTATATTTAAAATGATGTTTGTCATGTATTTGATTATGTTTATCAGCAATTAGTTATACGAATTCAAACATGGAACTTTTAATAAGATGTACTCATGCACATTGTACTCGTAATCTTGAAGTTTGAGTAATATACATCAATAAACAGTACTTGATTGAAATAACCACTAGTTAAGTTTACAAAATCCAGTCAGATGTATAGAGCTTGTAAAACGCGCATTTCCATTATATATTATGGTCATGTTCTTATTATCGTTGATGGACCAACCTTTTACAATATCGTAATATCATCGTTTAATTAAGGAGGTATTTAAGATTGTTTATTTGAAACAACTTATGTTTTTCTATACAAGCACTTATCAATTTATTACAAGTCAGAAGAGTTTAACTTCTTCAAAAACTCCTTATTACCGATTTAGCACCATTATAAGTTGTTTATCCAAATACTCAAAAGTGCTTATTACGAGTGTCACAACGAAATAAGTCAATAAGTTACTTTTATAAGCAACCTTGAACAACCCTAAATGGTTAGGATTATTTTACGATAATTTAAATGTTAGAAACCGTTTCATCAAAAATTTCATCTTTTTTAACCATTTACAGAACATTTATTAAAAACTGTTTATTTCGTCGTAAAAATATATTTAATGAAAAAATTAATTAAAGAACAGAAGGGTAAAATGGTAAATTCGGAATTCAGACATACCTGAACGATGTATCGTCGTCGTCTTTACAGACGATGAATCCATAGATGCATTCTTTCCAGAATCGATTTTCTGCTCTGAATCTATCTTCCATAAAACAAAATTAAAATAAATTATACATATATATACATATATACATGTATGTATGTATGTATGTATGTATGTATGTATGTAAGCATAATTTTATGGAAAATTAAGGGGGAAAAGAAATCAAAAAATAGAAATGAAGCAATTACCTTGAAAAGCCCCATCTGAATCTAACATTTCCGATTCATTGTCTCCTCCGCCATCTCTCTTTGATCCAAACAATTTCAGAATTATTGAGTTTTAATTATTAATAAATAAATAAATGAATGAAAATTTTAATGTTGCCATGCAAAGATAACGTACCGTATTTTCCTTTTGGTCGTTGACAGAGTTTGCAGGGGTGGTGCCACGGCTGCCGGCGATTTCGATAGTGGTGGCGGTGGCGGTGGCGTTGATCATGCCGACGACGAGTTTATGATCATTTCGGCGGGCTGTGTGTTGCCAATTTGGTTTTTGTGGTTGGGAGAAGAAGAAACAGGTGCAGTTATCGAAGGTACGTGGGCCACATCGTATGTTTTCGGAGAGTTTCGAATCAGTTTTCCAATGGAGGTGCAAAATGTCCATGATGACGTTATGCGCTTTTTATATTTTTTTAATTTTATTTTTTACGGCCATTTTTCACGTAAATTAATAATCAAAAATATGTAATTTATATTATATTATAAAGCATTTGATAAAAATTATTAAAACTATTTTTTATACACTAAAAGGGTACTCGTACAATGCAGCAAGACACATCTCGATTTTAATGTTCTATTTTATTATTTGTCTATGTCGATGTTATAATAC